CTTCGAGCCGCCGCCGGGCGTCAGCCTCCTGAGCGCGGAGGGCCTCAGCCGAGTCGAGATCGCCCTGCCGGATGGCCTGGGCCCCTGGAGCGAGGGGGCGGAGCGGCTCCTCAGCGGCTACTCTCTGCACGTGGGCCTGGCCGACGTGAAGGGCTGCTTCCACAGGTTGCGACTTCCTGGATGGCTCTCCGAGTACTTCTGCCCACCCGTCGTGCCAGCGTACTTGCTGGGCGTGGAGGGCGAGATCTGGGAAGGCAGGACTCTGGGGGGGCACGATCTGGTGATTCCGTGCTTGGCCGTCTTTCCGATGGGTTTCGCGTGGAGCTTGTGGGCTGCCCAGCGGATCAACGAGTACCAGGCGAGTTCCCTCTGCCCGCAGCTGCGCGAGAGCCCCCTTTCTGACCGTGGCAGGCCACCCGTCTTCGGCCCCAGCGTCCCCAAGGACCTCGTCTCGCACTACGTGTGCGTCGACAACCTGGGGGTGGCCTCCACCGACCAGCCCATCGTCACCGATGCGATCGCGCAGCTGGTGGAGGGCTTCGACCAGCGCGGCCTCCTCCTCCACGGCAGCTCCGTGGGCACCGAGGTCGAGGCGCTGGGCACCGAGGTTTCGAGGGCCCTCTGGAGGACGAGGGTGGCGCAGAAGCGGTTCTGGCTCATTCGACAGGCCCTGAACGGCCTCCTGCGACGCCGCCGCCTCACAGGCTGGGCGGTCGAGGTCCTGGTGGGCCACTGCGCGTTCGCGGGATTGCTGAGCAGGGGTGCGTTGAGCGTATTCCACGCGGTCTATGCCTTCATGCGGAAGTCGTGCGCCGAGCCCAGTGTGCTGTGGCACGAGGCCCGCCAGGAGCTCGAGACGTTCCGAGGCCTCCTTATCTTCTTTGAGAGTGATTGGACGCTGCAGTGGAACGACCTGGTGGTGGCGACCGACAGCAGCTTGGAGGCAGGAGCTGTCGCGACCACCCGGTGGCTTCGTTCGCTGGTGGCCGAAGTGGGCCGCGTGCAGGAGCGCGCCCGCTTTCGGGGGCCCGCGGCGGTCGAGACCGACGGCGCTGCCGGAGCCGCTCCTGCTGCCCGCCGCGGTGCGCGAGAGGCGGCGCTGGAGGCGGCGGGCTTCTGGCGCGACGCCGATGGCGAGTGGCGGCTGGCCGAGGGCGCGATCGACGACGACGAGCAGGCCGCTGCGTGGGAGGCGGGCCCCTCCTGCCCGGAGGTGCCCGCCGCGGGCCTGGCGAGCAGCCGCTGGCGCACCAAGCAGGTGCAGCGCTGGCGATTCGAGGAGGGCCTCCTTATTAAGGAGGCCCGAGCACTGGTGATGGGCGTCCGACGCATTGCCCACTCTGTGTTCGGTGCCGCCTGCCGTCGGCTGATTCTGTCTGACAACGTGTCAGTTGTACTGTCTTTTAACCGGAGTCGTGCTAAAGAGTTTGCTCTCCTCGTCCAGGTCCGCAGGTTTCAAGCCTACTGTCTCGCAAGGAATCTGAAGGTGTCTGTGAGGTGGGTTCCGTCCCAGTTGAACCCCGCCGATTATGGGTCTCGCGTTTTTGATTGAAAGGGGCTAAGGAGTCTCTTGGTGCACTTCTTCCCGATACATTTTTTCAGAGGAGTCCAGGTCTAAAGGTCCCCCTGAGGTTCGCGCTCCCTTCCATTTCCACCCGTCCGAGAATTCTGCGCAGTGCCCGTTGCGCTGTGCCCCTCACAGAGCTGTCTGTTCTGCCCCAAGTGCCCGAGGAGTCTGACTGGTCCCTTGATGCCCGTGTGTGCTCTGAACCTGTGTATTCACGGTGCGGTCTGACTTCCTCGTATCCCGTTTCGGCTCAAACCTGTTTGCAGGCCCACCCCTTTGACGGGCCTTCGTCCTCGCATGCTGTGCCGAGGACGGCTGCGGGAGACCCCGCCGCCTCCGCCTGGGACTCCAGCGCGGCGGCCGCGCCTGCGGGCGAGGGCCGCGTTGGCCGAGCCTGCCGCGCCGACCCCCCGACAGCTGGTGGCGCGAGAGTCGGGCAGCAGGACCCCCCAAGGGCCGCAGCTCCTGCCGAAACTCACCGCGGCCCGGCGGGCGCAGGACTGGAGGGCCAGGCTGAGCTGGACCGAGCTGTCGTCAGCGCCCAAACTGCTCAGGCGCGAGCGCGACCTCCAAGCCCTCCCCCAGGACTGGTCGCACCCGATCGTGGCCAGCAGCGTCGATGGCGGCAGCACCTCCGACGATCAGCAGGTCGAGCCAGCCGGCGAGAGGCGCGAGGGGGGGCCGCTGAACGAGGCAGCTCGGAGGCGGGCCTTGACCGCGGCCCCAGGGATGGGCGAGGCGATGGCCGGCTACGTGAACCATCTGTCCATCGAGGGCACCGAGAACGCCAAGGGCTGTCAGGAGAAGGCAGGCCTCATGTACAGGTTCGGAGAGTTCTCGAGGCAGGACAAAGCCAGGACACCTCGGGCGTGGAGAGGCCTCCAGGGATGGCGCAGGCTGGCGCCCCGGCGGGGCCGCCGCGCATGGCCGCTGGCCCTCAGGTGCGGGCTCGCCTGGCGCATGGGGGTGCAGAATGTGCTGCCGATGGCGGTGTTCCTGCTCACGATGGTCTTCGGCTACCTCTGGCCCAGTCGTCGGCTGAAGTTGGCGAGAGGCAACGTCGCCGCTTCGGCGATGGGAGAGTGCCGTCGGTGGTCGCTGTTGCTGTTGCTGGACAACAGGCCCCAGAGAAGCAAGACAAGGCTCTCGGACGTCGGGGTGATATTGAACGACGGATGTATTCGGTGTGCCATGCCTATCTTCCGGAGAGCTCGCCCAAGGGGATCACGAAGAGGAGGGGCGGGCGTTCAGTTACCCTCCGTTTCTGGCAGTGCTGAAGAAGGAGGCGATCGACCCGCAGATTCGAGAGCACATTGTCCCTTGTCCAACCAGACACTCAGAACCCGGTGTGGGCAACGCTCGACGGTGCCGAACGATCGCGGAGATGCAAGGGAGAGGACAGTGGAGGCATGCCATGCCGATGCAACGTTACGTGAGGACGGCGAAGCCGGGTCAGAGCAGACCTCTCGTGCCGCCCCGGCCGCCAGGTACCTTGACACAGTGCGAGTGACATCTAGAGGTCATGCTGCTCGGAAAAATTGCCGAGACAATTATCCTGTGAGGCGGCGCGGCCGCCAGCGTAAGTACATTCTTGATTTGTTCTCGGGTTCGAACTCGATAGGTAAGGCTGCCTTAAGGCGAGGCTTCAACTACCATGGTTTTGACAGCCTCAATGGGCCCAACGAGGACCTCGCTAGACCTGTCGTGCTTGCGCGTGTTAGGGCCGCTATATCCAGGCATGAGGTGATAGCCGCGTCTCTTGGGCCTCCCTGTGCGTCTTGGGGAACAGCGGCCGATCGGGGGCGTCAGCCGGGCCGCTCAAAGAGTTTTCCCTGGGGCCTGCCCGACGCCTCCGAATGCGCAGCTAGGGGAATTTTACAGGGAAGCGCCACCTTTCGCGCAGCGCTAAAATTATTGAAGGCGCCTGCCCGATCGCAGGTCCCCTTTGTTTTTGAGCGTCCGATCAATAGTAGAGCCTGGCACACGCCTGAACTGAAGTCTCTTACCGAGCGATATTGCATGCATTCTCGTGTGTGTGATCAGTGCCAATTCGGGGTCCGCTGGAGAAAGCGTGCACGATTTCTGTTTTTCGGGGTGGACCCCCAGGACACTTTGAAAGTCCAAAGACGGTGCCACAGTGTTGGTGGGGTTTGCTCGGCTTCAGGAAAGCCCCACGTCATCCTGGAAGGCAAGGCCCCCTTCTGGGGCCACGTGGACGTCTCTGGCAGCTTCGTATCCTCCGAAGCTGGCTGACTGCATTGTTAATTGTTTACTCTGCCACCAGAAGGGGCCAAGAGGCGGCATCCTTCCTTTAACCCGCCTCGCCCTCCCAGAGAACCCTTAGGGACTTTGGGCTGTCAATTGCGTCCCAGCTCCGCCAAGACGAGTGGCACGTGGTAGCAAAAACGTTCCCCACCGAATGTAGGAGTTAACCTGTCAGTGCGTGCACGGGAAGGTTGTGAGCGAAATGACTTGATGAGACAGGTCAGACACGAACCAATTTAAATGGGGGACCCTTGGACTCCATAGCCTTTCTTCGGTTCCCGCCCTCCCTTTTCTCCCTCTCTGCTCTGTCGCCAGGCTTTCAATTGCGTCCCAGCTCCGCCAAGACGAGTGGCACGTGGTAGCAAAAACGTTCCCCACCGAATGTAGCAATTAACCAATTGTTATTCTTATTATTCGTAGTAGTTGTAGTAGTAGTAGCAGTAGTAGTAGTAGTAGCATTCTTAGTTATAGTAGTCGTCGTCGTATTAGTATGAGTAGGAGTCGTCGTAGTAGTAGTAGTAGTAGTAGTAGTAGTAGTAGCAGTAGTAGTCGTAGTAGTAGTAGTAGTAGTAGTAGTAGTAGTAGTAGTAGTACTAGTAGTAGTCGCAGTAGTAGTAGTAGTAGTAGTAGTAGTAGTAGTAGTAGTAATCGTAGTAATAGTAGTAGTAGTAGTAGTAGTAGTAGTAGTAGTAGTAGTAGTAGTAGTAGTAGTAGTAGTAGTAGTAGTAGTAGTAGTAGTAGTAGTAGTAGTAGTAGTAGTAGTAGTAGTAGTAGTAGTAGTAGTAGTAGTAGTAGTAGTAGTAGTAGTAGTGGTAGTAGTAGTAGTAGTAGTAGTAGTAGTAGTAGCGTAGTCGTAGTAGTAGTAGTAGAAGTAGTAGTGGTAATAGTATAAGTAGTAGTAGTATTAT